CTCTCATTCCCCATGTAATGAATCAAATATAAATGTGTTGTCCTCATTTATAAATGAGTAAATGCACTTCCTGTATTCTGAAGTCCCTTTTTCACATTCAGGATTTCTTATGTGATAGTAGCATTTCAGAACTCTTCCCCATGTTTTCAAATGTCCTGATAATTTGAACATTTTTGCTTCCATATTTGATCTAATCTAAGATCCATGTGAGATTTATTTGACTGTTAATTTTTGTAAAGAAACGCATCTCCACTCTTTGGATGTAATGGTGGTTCAGCATCATCCAGAATTGCTTCTTCTTTTAGTGTAAACTCTTAACTGTCTTTGCATTAAAGTATTTTTTGTGTGGTATTCATGTGAGAATGTGAATATACGAAAAAAAATATCTAATATAATATGATATAAAATAATACTAGATATAAAATAGACTGTGTATGAGTACCATGGTGATGTGCATGGCAGCAGTGGAAAATGATTTGCAGGGCTTTTAATATGTACTGTCGATTCCAGTGCTCTCCATGGATAAGTTTAATCTTAGTCTGGACGCTTTGGCTGTGCGAATCAGATGTTCAAATTGTCTTTTGCGTCACTCTTTGTATGAAGCTGTGGCTCGCCTCTGAGGATCCGAGAGAAACAGCTTCAATAATGGGAAAAGTGTACATAATCAAAAGTAACCATGAACACACAGAAAATAAAAGACTTAATAAAACAATAAAATAATGAACATTTTGCTATTCCGTTGACTAAATAACCTGTTTCTGGACAGGACTATTCTAAATGCTGAAAAACCTCTATAAGTCGATTTTTTAATTATTTACACCTCTGTGTGATTCACATTATCAGTCATATTTACGGTCCTCCTTCCGAGAGCTGCTTGCAAGAGCACTGCCTCATCCTTGGGTGTTTTGTCTGTGCTTTCAGGTTTCAGGTAAAACTGCAGGATAGGGTAGATTTTATTGTCCCGAAATATCAATCAACCAAACAATACCATAAACTTTATCACTGATAAACGTGTCTGCTGACTTCCTTTAGCGTTTCTGGCCTCCATAAAACAATGATGGGAAACATCTTGTAAGAAGCATAGACATCATTAATTATTGAAAATCTAAACATCAAAGGACCACTTTTTTTAATTGATTATAAAACAGTGTTGAGCTGTTGTGTAAAACTGTTACGCACTGTAAATAAGTATTTTTTTATTACTACGTAAAGATATTACAACATACCATATTTCATTCTTATTTTAATATAGGGCTGAGCGATTACTGGAATGTAATAACACCGTCTCAACTATAACTGTATAGGCCACATGATATATCACTGAGGCCTAACTAAGTCATAAATTTGTTGTGTCTCTATAAGATCAAATCTTGATCCCATAGGTATCCAGGAATTGAGCGAAACTAACCAACTAAACTAAGGTGGCTGAAAACGCCTGTTTCCAAGTGGTTAAGGTCAGCTGACGTGATTTAGTGAGACACTGCAGGGCACATGGGAGTAAGATAACAAACTACTCTTATAATATGTACATTTTATATTATTTTATATTATATGGAACACCTATTTGCAATGACATTGGATGAAAAACATGCTTTAAATTGTCTATAGGCTTTATAAAATGTTAATTTACGCGCTCAGTGACTCACTGCAGGACAAAGGGCAAAGCTTCCAGTTTCGGGACTGCCGTCACCCTAGGTGTCATTCCCTGTGAGAGTATTAATTCCTCGGCAAATCACTCTTCAGCGAGTGATTGTTCAAGCATCAAATCTTTAGACAGTGCTTCTGTAGATTTTTGCATGCTTGATCTATGAACCACGACGTCTCTCCCTTGTGCTTCAGAAGACTGATTTGCTGACTCAGAATCAAACATAAATGAGGCAGAGATAACACGTTGTCTTCTGTATTTTATGGGCAAATGGCCATGATCATCACTGAGCAACTTTGCTGCCAATTTATCTGGTTCCACCCGACTGTTGATTTGCACACTCAGCAACTCACAAAGCTATTCTATTAGAAAAGTGCTCATTATATCACTCTTGTCCTGTACAGTGACAGTTGCACGAAGTACTGACATCTCTCTTGCGGTTTTGCAGTATGCTGCACGTTGTGGACATCTTGTCATCAATGTCTGGAAATTGACAGCAGGCAAAGGATGAAGCTTCGAACATTGGTATTCTGCTTTGACCTCTGCCGTCACAAGTTCTCCCTCTTTGACCTTAAAACTGTCAATTACTTGCGCAACATTGCTTGATACATCAGGCACAACTGTTAAAGAAGACTGTGTAGTAGTAGATAAACAAGTGCAACCATCAAACTGTCGAACAGATGCATTCTTAATTGTAAATTAAGAACCACTTCCCTGTTTCTAGCATATCTTCTCTCCAGACAGTCAATGACAAACCACATGTTTGATCTGCCACATCATAAGACCTTCTGTGTATCTTCAGCCAACTGGAGCACTTTCTTTGACTGTCACATTCACCTAAAATGCTAAAAACAGGGGGGGAATTGTTACACTAACCAACAATCTCTTTACTTGGCAACAATAACATGATGTTACACCACACACACATGAATCCAACAAACAAGTACCTGTATCTCTGATGCTACATCTCAGGTACTACAGGTAAAATAAACTTTATCTACTATTATCATAAAGGACTGTTTAACAACCACACTTGAAACATTGTAATGATAATTTCTATACATACCAAAACAAACACCATCTTTACAAAGCACTTTGTTTTGAAATATACTCAATCAGCACTGCCAAACAGCACTGATTTTAACAGCAGCATATCCGGCCACATTACCAAAATGATGCACACCCTGTCTTTACCACCACTATTTACAAGTCAATGTAGTTAATAGGGCTGTGCAATATGGACAAAAAAATGGATCACAACTTTTTGATCAATATTGCAACTTCGATTTTAATCACGATTTCGATTTTTGGTGACACAAAATAAACGTTGCGCTTTTCTAAGCGTGTAAAATGGATAACTATAATGTATGGCAGAATACCAGAGCAAGTGCTTGGGAGCACTTCGACTCGGCACAGTAATATTATCACTCCGAAGAGGGAGAAGGGGAGAGGATTTTTCAGGAGTAAGGGTGTCACGATTTCGATATTAAATCGAAATCGATCGAAATTAATTCAATGGTATCGAAATCGAAATAAAAAATGGTATCGTCGATACTGCCACGCCCCATGTCGCGTCCGTGATGGAAAGTTCGGATCGTTTTACAGACTGTATTGTTCAATCTCGTTCATCAAAATTAACTAAACTTTTTTTCTAGTCATTTCAGGGGCTTTAAATGTTATACTATTAACATGCAAATTCCCCGAACATTAAGAAGATGTACATAATGAATGCAGTGAAAAATAATTTACACTACAGGGAACAAATAATTACTTTACCTTCCGAGTCTTTTGTTCATTTGTCGCGTGACAGAGGCAATGAACAGATCGTTTATGATGAATGACTCATTCATGATGAACGACTCATCACGGTGCGGAAAACAAAACACCTGTTGAAAGGCTGCGAGTCCTCTAACTGACACATCATGGCAACTGCAGATATCGAAGACCCATCAACGGAACTTGAACACCCTCCTGCTTCTCTGAAGTCGCCGGTGTGGAGGTATTTTGGATTTGCAGTGCGGTATGTTGACAACGTTCGCGTTGTCGACAAAAAAGCCACAGTTTGCAAGCTCTGCTATGTGCGTGTACCATATTCGTCCACTGGCAACACGACTAACATGGCTGCGCATCTCCGCAGACCGCACAAAAATATAGATTTGTCGGTCAAACCAACAACTGTACAAACTACTCTCCCGTCTTCATTTGGAATTAAATTTCCAAGTAACTCAACTCGTGCAAATGCACAAGCGCATCGCTGCAGATATGCGACCTTATTCGGTGGTGGAAAACTCCGGATTTAGGCATAATATAACTGTTCGGAAATAGTTTAAGATGCTTAATTGTTCAGAGAAGAGAAGACTAGTATGGAGTCTATGGACATTACTGTTTTATTGCTTTTGTTTGTTTTGTTGTGATTGTGAACATAAATGTCATCTTCATACATACGTAACCGAGACGTTTGCACTTAATGGGGTGTGTCACTTCCTATTCTTTACTTGCGCCTTTCTGAACCACAGGCAATTATTAAAATTTGTAGAATTTCTTATTAAATTGCCAGTTTATATAAATTCAGCGTTAGGAACATGTGAAGTCAGTAGTCACTCAACTGAATACAGCGATACTGAACTCTCACCTGTTTAACCAGCTTGCTATATCTCACCTGTAAATAAACTATCACATTATCTGAGTTACCTGAGTTGTCTCCTTCTGTAACACTGACAAACTGGTTTTATGCAGTGCATGACTTTTTCATCACATCAGTCAACTAAAGCAGTTTATTGGTTTGTTTTCACATTTGAGTACAAGAGTTGCAAGTGATAGAGACAAATGATAACCAACAGTCGGAAAAGGAGAAAACGAAAACAATTGAGCAGACAATAATATTGATGGTGTTAAAAGGATAGTTTGTACAAACAAAACTATTACCCTATCTTCTTTTGTTTTCCACAAAATATATATCTTTAAATAAATCAAGCAGATTTGAAATGGCAAAAGGGAAAGTAAAATAAATTTCAGTTGTGGGTGAACTAGTCTTTAACAACATTTACTCATATACATTAAATATGCAAACTTAAATATAGATACGGTATTTGCAGATGATCAGCCATAATTTATATAAACACATACACAAAAAAATATATATTTCTGTTTTTGTCCCTAAACATGGTACAGAATGATTTTCATGAATGTACTGTGTTTGCAACATTTAAAGTAGGCTAATCGCATGAACTAACTTAATGTGAAGTCATCACATTACACATAAATCAGAATCAGTTATACATATACAAGTGTACAGTACATACAGTACAACAGATATACATTAGAGGTTTAATGCACATTGATACTAATTTAAATTTGACCATTTAGAACTGACACCATATCTTGTAAGAGATCTGAGAGAAGTGTTACATTTCAAACACTTTTTACCATCTTTGACAAAAAGCCACTGAAAGAAAATGTAGTGTCCAAAGAGAAAATGGTGTCAAGACCCAGTGACGTGATGTGCATTAATTCCATTGGCAGCTCTTTCAGGACTCTAAGAGAACTGAAATTAACGTGTTCTAAAAGAAAAAATGAAAGTTTTTTAGTCAGTTTCACTTCTGATCCTCTGCTTTCAGCCCTCTTCAACTTCATTACAGCATCTTTAATGTTCATCCGGAGTTGGTCTATAACACTACATTTTACTTGGAAGTGCTTTGCGAGCAAAGTCTTGCCTTCTGCTTTCTGCTCTTGGCTTGAAAATTCCACATATGTTCGAATCTGCGTCAGATGTGACTTGTATGAATCTATTTCTTTGTCAGCTTTTTCCAGATCAGCCAATGCTTGAGTAATATATCCAGCATCTTTCTTCATAATAGTGGCCAGTGCACGATTATAGAGAGGAATAATCTCTCCAGATGCACCGTCCTCCAAAGCTTTGCTGTACATCTCAATGCTCTCCGCTAGGCGTCCCTTCTCACGGAGATTGTTTCCAGACCTGATATAATAGTAGACCATTGAGGATGGGGACTGTTTGCTTATAAGTTTCAGCTGTGCAGTCGACAAGGAAACTCTCAGCTGTGCCTTCAGTGTCTCTATCTTCTTTTCCTCATTGAAATGCATCAGGAGCCACAAACCCCAGCACTCTTGAAGACAGGACACAGTTACATCACGCTGATCTGAGTAAAAATTGTCTTCATAAATGTTGTCCAAAACTTCAAGGTACAAAGAAAATAGCTCCTCTTCTTTTATGATTTTTTCAATGTCTTTTTTAAGGAACCTTGAGCGTCTGAGCTGGACCTCAATATTTCTGGCATCTTTTGCCTTTTCTAGATTATTAGCCTTAAATGGGAATGAATTTATGGTTAAAAGGCCAGTGAGAGCAGAGATCATCGCCTCGTGATTTTGAGAGCTATGATTTTTCAGGTAGCGATTAACAGTTTCCCCAAATAGATTTCCTGTGATACAATGTGACATCTGTATTATTAAACAACACAGAGCGCTGAATAAGCTGATGTCAGATGTGTTCAGGCTCATCACTAGTTTCACAGAGTCAGAGAAATGATTGGTGCATGTGATGAGTTGAGCGGATCCTGGACTCCCTTGGCGAGCCGTTCGTCCAAACGCTTGCTGTTCAACACGGACGTTCAGAGGTAAGAAGGTTTGCACCACAAACAGACCTCCAGCTTCATTTACCCTTACACTGACCTTTAGGTCTGTACCTCGGCCTGCTAGATTAGTTGCAACAACTACGTCTCCTGCTCGCAGTTCTTTATCTACAATTTTTGAGTTGTCCATGTTGTTATTTACATAGAGTTTTAAGTTGTGTTTTGAGATGGTCTTTGCAAGCCTCCTGTGAAACATTTTGGCACGATTGATTGTTTCACAGATGACGAGAGCTGCTCGTGGACCTCGATAGACTGTAGAAGTCACTTGATGCTGAACAACATTACAGACAGTGCTGATCCACTCGTCTTCTTCAGCTAACACCAGGCCTTCCAGCTCATAAAGTTTCCTTCGTCTAAATGGGGGAATCGTACAGGTGTCGATGCCTTCATAGACCTTCTTCAGTATCTCAAGCTCTGTTTGGTCCCCCAAAGTTCCTGTGATCCCATAGATCTGGTTTGTGTATTTCTTAAATAAGCCCAAATTAGACATAAAGTTTGCGATTAGAGTCATGTTCGACAGTTTAGTTTGGTGTTTCATCTCGAGGAACTGCTGAAGTCCTTCCCCCCAACTCATGTTGTTCTGCACAACACCAGTGGAACTGTAATCGACAGGAGCGACTCCATCTCCATGAAGGACGTATTCATGGCCCAGAGACATCTTTTTGGCTTTCAGAGCATTTCCAATCCAAGTTTGCATCTTTCCATTGATAAGGTCTTGACGGCCTGCTATACAAGATTCATGTACTTTTGCTGATTCAGACTGATATCCCTTTTTAATCGTTTTACCTAGTGACTTAACCAGCGAGTCTTCCTCATAGTACACTAAACGACACTGTCCAGATCCAATGAGAAGAAGTGAAATTTCTTTACTATTATTTTTACTTGTGGAACCAATCTCATTCAGTTTCTGTACATTTCCGTCATGCCCTTCTTGGTAAAGTTTAAAGAAATACTCTGGGACAATTTGCACAAACATGGTTAAAAAACCCACCATTTGCACAACACTTGTTTTGTCTAGTTCTTTTAGAGCATTTGTCATGTTTTCTTGAATTCCCTTTGGAAGTTTTGTAGGCATAGTTCCTACGTCCACAGCAATCTGCATAACACTAAGTTGGTTGACGTCTTTATTTTCCAGCAAGATTTCAGACAGAACCTCAGAGAAGAGCTGAATGGGCCCTAAAATCTCGCCAGTCTCTAAACGCTTCAGCTGATTGACGACAAACCAAATTTTAGCCAGTATTCCATTGAGCGATTCCATAAGAGGAATCTCACTGCTCAAATACACCACTTCATGACTTTTGTCCAGCATTAAAGAATCCACCTCATCCACTATAACACACTGAAACTCTCTCTTAGGTCTCACATCTTGTCTAAGGACACGTTGTCTCAGGAAATCAGCTGCAAAACTGACAGCTGTACCGTAGACCACCTGACGTTCATAGCACTTCTTCAGCTCTTTTTCTTCTGATTTGTTGGTGTTGACGTCAACAGTGATACCTAGTTCATTATAAAATGGAGTCCATTCTTTAGCGTCTCTTTCAGCGAGAATAGGAGAACTGGAGATGATATCAGGGGTGTTTCCCTTTAGGACCTGATATGCTGCAAACATTGCCACGATGCACGACTTTCCTTCTCCTGTTAAAACCTGAACAAGCCGGCTTGATTTAGAAAGGACAAGAATGCACCAGCTCACCATCTGAGTCACTCGAGGTGTTATTTTATTCTTGCTCTTTTTTTGCACTGCTTTGCAGATCTTGAACAAAAGTAGCTTTTTTCCTGTTAGATGTGGAGCTGTAGAAGCTGATAGACATTTGGACACAGAGGTCACAATATCCTGCACTTTTGCCATTATTTTTTCAGTGATATTTCCTTGTTTTTGAATTTCCTCCAAAACATCTTTTAGGGTTTTCCCCGTTTTATCAGTGTTTTTGATCTCATTAATTTTGGCCTCAACATTATTCACAATCTTACTGTCATTGGCTGTCAAATCCGACGCACTTATTTTGTGAATTTCAACTTGATGAAGGATTTTCATCATCCATGTGTGAAATGGTTCATTTCTGCCATTATATTGCTCCACGAGGGCTTTAAACAAATTAACAACATCATATTTTCCCCATTGTCCGTTCTTAAGCAGGGAAATCAGTCTTGATGACAGCAGTTTTCCTGATGCCTCCATTTTCAAAACTCTGGGGATTCAGAGCGATATTTTTCACGATGCAGCATCACTGTCTGTAGTTTAAAGAAATTCACACAGAAGTTAAATTAACTTCTGCTAATCTAACTAACATTCATATGAAAACCAATATATTAGGATAAATATAATTGTAACACTTTACAATTAGGTTCATTAGTTAACCTGTTAACTGGCACCCCCCTTTTTTTTGCATAGACATAAAAATCACTATCCAAACTTAACATGAACTAAGAATGAACAATACTTTTTCAGCATTTATTAATCTTTGTTAATATTAATTTCAACATTTACTAATACGTTATTAAAATCAAAGGTTGTATTTGTTAACATTAGTTAATGCACTGTGAACTGACATGAACAAACAATGGACAGCTGTATTTTTTTATTAACTAACATTAACAAAGATTAATAAAAACTGTAACAGATGTATCGCTCATTGTTAGTTCATGTTAGTTAATACATTAACTAATGTTAACTAATGAACCTTATTGTAAAGTGTTACCAATATAATTAAAAAACTACAACAATATAAAGCGTAATGTTTTGCTTGTTTTAAAAGTGCTATCAAAGAGTTTTATTCTGACTCTTTCCTCTAAGAGAGCATGAATTTATAATACTTACACCATTTGAGACTATATTGTTGTAGAGTTGTCACAGCAAATGTCTTGAGTCATTTGTGAAAAGATTGAAGTGAGTTGCATTATATATTGATAAGAAGAGGCTGTCTCTCCTGCTGTGGAATTGACAGAGATATTAATCGTCTCTAGTTTGTCACATGATTTAAAGGAACATGAGCTGTGCCTTTATTTGTGTTAAGAAGGCACGCTTGATGCAAATCTGTAGAATCATTCACAACTGACTTTAAGTCAACTAAAAAATCATTTTCACCTTTTGGAGGCAAAACTTGTACATTACATGAAGGAATGTATGCCGTCAGCTTTCTATTTATTATATATTGTTTAACCTTCTCAGTTTATTCACACACAGACGTATCCTGATGACGTTACATTGGTGTGTTCTTTCACTTTCAGTGTTGGTAAGTAAATAAAATACCAAATGGTGTTGGTACAATAGATTGCTTGTGTATACAGGTTTCTTTTGGTTTCGAGTGTGGTGTGATGTGGTGACGTGTTCCTTCGCCGAGTGGTTGGCTGCCATGAAAACCTTGCAGGTTTCATTTCCACATGTTTATTTGTCAGACGTTCTTCTTTTATCAGCCTGCATGTTTTTATGAAATAGAACGGTTGTTTTAGAGTATGTTTACATGACAACAATCTACTAAATGCAGAAGTTTCATATACAACTATGTCAAAATGATCCCTGTCTACATGGATCCATGAAAACAACTAAAAAGACCCATACCAAATCAGACCCATAACAAATCGCATGAAAAAGAACAGCAGCAGCAGCATCCCAAGGATGAATGAACATGAGAGAGATGGCATTGGAGACTATGTATGTAATGTAGGCTATTATGTATGTAATACAGAGATTATGTATTTATTTATGTTAATATCTGCGCAATTAATGTTTATTTAGCCTGCCTCTGCCATCCAGCATGCTACACACAACAAGATGAACATGAAATCAAAAAGTTTCTATAGATTCAAAACCTGTAATTTTGATTTAATACATTTAAAACACAAACCAACACATTTTCTCCTGTTTAATCTTATCTAATTTCTTCGAGAATTTAAATTCCAGTGGATTTTATAACCACAGGCTGCACACTGTTGTGGCATAATGGAACACTCATTGATTTTTACTGTGAGTGATAACACACTCGATCGAAGATGGCGGACACGTTGATATGTCTGAAGCGACTGAATGTGGCATCTATACATATCCATAATTGTTCATGCCTATAGACCGAACACACAATACCCATACGCTTGATGTTGTCGTTTTCACAAATTCATGTTTTTATAGTTTATACAGTCATGATAACAGTATTAATTTCAAAAACTTACACTTTGAAACATTCCCATTTCCATTTTATGAAATGCTGCGTTTCATAAAATGTTCAGGCCCCCAAAACGGATAAAAGCAACAGCTAAATGCATAAATGTAATTGTCAGATTGATTTCCTTCTCCACCCCCAAATATTTAGCTTTTTTTTTTCTTTTACCAAGAATAATTACATATTTGGTATGGAATTTACAGCATTGGTCAGCATACTGAAATTGACGAGCCCATTGAACAATCAATTGAACAATCCACACGATACATAACAGCTACAAAAAAAATATATATATAATTATAACATTGTTGATCAGCTATATGGGTAGAATGCTTCAGTTAAATTGAACCAGTCTTCTCATCTGTTCAACTTCACAATGATGCAAGAAATGTTTAGTTTAATAGGACATTTTTAGTTTAGTTTCTCTTTCACTATACTGTATGTCACATTATTTGCTGGAATCAAATTATATAATATTTTTCTAGATTAGTTTAGTAAAGCTATCGGTAACTTCAGACAGAACTGATACTTTTTGCGTATGTTGCATCAGATGTACAGTGATGCCAGAAAAAAGTTTGTGAACCTTTTAGACTTTTCTATTCTGCATAAATATATGACCCAAAACACCATCAGAAGTCCTAAAACTAGACAAAGAGAAACCCAATCAAACAAATGAGACAAAATATGTACTTCACAACACGTGTTTGGGGAAGTGTATCATGGCATAGACAAAAGAGATTTCTGAAGACCCCCCAAAAAAGTGTTGCTGTTCCTCACCAGACTGGAAAAGGTTATTAAACCATCTCTAAAGAGTTTGGACTCCACAAATCCGCAGTCAGACAGATTGTGTAGGAATGGAGAAAATTCAAGGTAATTGCTACCCAAAATCAAGTCAGGTAATAGTCTGTGAGGTTACAATGGAGCCCAGGGTAAGTTCTAAGCAACTAAAGGTGTCCCTCACGTTAACACCGAACATCCATGGTGTGCATGGCAGAGTTGTTACTGCTCTCCAAAAATGTATTTCTGCCAGTCTATTTGAAAAATATATTTTTGTTTTAAATGAGAAGCGTTATGTTTGGAGAAAGAAAAACACTCCATTCCAGCATAAGAACATTATCCCCTCTGTGAAACATGGTGGTGGTAGTATCATGGTTTGGGCCCGTGTTGCTGCATCAGGGCCAGGACAAATCACCATTATTGATGGACTAGTGAATTCTGAATTATACCAGCGGATTCTAAAGGAAAACGTCAGGACATCTGTCAGTGCACTGAAGCTCAAGAGAAAGTGGGCCAAGCACACAAGTCTTTCTACCAAAGAATGACATGATTTCCCAGGCTCTTCTCATGGCATTAGCTTTATAAATTCAGATATAACAATTCCATGTAATTGTTTTAAGCCATCCATTTTATTATATCATATGATTAATTGTATTAAAAGCTCTTTATGGTCTAAAGTCACCAAGATTTTTTTTTTTTTTTTTCTGAGTGTGATGTTATTTTCTTCTTCAAAGAGTTTGGGGGCATAAATAAATACATTTTCATGTAAAATAAAAGATTTTGTTTACTTTGAGTAACTTTTTGATTCAAAACCATATTAGTTGCAGCTCTACATGGTCTCTGATTGGAAGGGGTAAATTAAAAAGACAATTAACTGGCATAGAATCCTGCTGTACACTAAGCAAGATCCATTTGATATTTATTCTATGTTGATTCAATGTTCAATAAGTGATTTAAGATGAACAAATATAGATTTTATGTCCATCTTGATCTATTTTGTGATCGTTGAAATAACATTGATTTTTCATCAGGTTTGCTCCCTGAAATAATGTTAAATTTAAACATTGATTCAATATTGATTCCGTGTTGGTCTGCTATCTGGGAAAGTCTTGTTCGTGTCACATGTAAAGTTGTTTGTGGTTCATGCTCATATACTGGAGTGATGAGCCCCTTATCACACAGATGTTTAAACTAACTTCTCTGAGTAGAATTGTACCGTAAGAAAGTTATTTTCCCGTACCCCAGAAATTAACATTTCTTAGAATAAAAAATAATACTCAGCATTCGCTGGACAAACAGGTTGGTTGATAGTGGTATTAATTCTGCTACATCAAGTTAATTCTATTAACTGATCCAAATATTTATAATTAATTATTAGTTTTAATTAATTATTCATATTTCCCTTGAGCTAATCTGCTACAAACCTGAAAATGGCTGTTAAACAACAGTCCCCATTCAATCTGACAGAGCTTGAGAGGATATACAGAGATAAATGGCCAATAATCCGCGAATCCAGGTGTGTGAATCTTTTTGAATCATACCAAAAAACCCGAGACTGTATTTGAGGCAGAAAGGCGCTTCAAAAAGTACTGAGTTATTGAGTTACTGATTACTTAGTCAGTGGGTTTTGATGGGTAAAGGGTAAAAAAAAAAGCAATCCAAAGCATTTTACCAAAAGGCATACAAAAACAAAACAGTGTGGTCTGAATTTTCAAGGTATATTAAATCAAATTTATGAGTGACAACTCAATCTTAGAAACTATAGCAAAGGAGATGGTCGGATGTCAATGCCACATACATTTATATGTACATGGCAAAAGAAATTTGAAGCTTCAATGCAAAGTATTAAGAGATGAAATGAAATAATTGAACATGACCAAATCACTTGTGATGGAATTTTGTAGGAACGTCACTTGTTCAGACAAGTATCTGATATAGAACACATTTAAAAGGTCATGTTCATTGCGTCAATAACATTTAGCTGCGGTGTGAACATAGCTTTGATTTCACACAGATTCAAGTGGCTTTTTATTGTAGATTTAATTTCTTCCCAGAATGAGTTTGTAAATGACATTTCAAGTTTGTTTGATATGTGAAACTCTTCTCAGACTGAAGACACGTGAAAGGCTTCTCTCCTGTGTGAACTCTTAAATGATTCCCCCTGTGGTGAAAATCCAGATTTTAATGTTGTTTATATGTCTATGTGGTGGGTTTTAATATGCTTTAAGACAAACTATGTGTGAATTCACAAGTCAACAACATTGCTGACTATTTTCTCCTTAACACAGTTCA